CTGATGGTTTACAGTGATGATGCCCACAAACTAATAAAAACCAATGAAAGCTTAGTCATACATTCAAACCAAAAGTCTACCACTTCAAAGAATTGTATCCTGTGTAAAGTGTAAAAATATTACTCCATGTCTCATGAGTTCAAAGACACCATACTCAAATGCTAAAGATAAAATTCGCCTCAACTCTAGTCTTCACATATATCACTCAAATTTTCACTCAGATCCTAAGGTGTAGTCTCTCCACAAATACACGTGAGTGAAATTATGTAAAAAGGATTAAAAAATTCTCACATATGAAATATGAAATAAATATTACATCAAACACTGGTCCCAATGTGCATCTATCCTTGGATTAACATGGTCATTTTATTTTGGATGGAAAATTAAATAGAAATTGGATGTCAAAGATCTTCGGCCAACTTCGTATATAACTTGTTCAAATCAAAACCACTGTCAAATGTACTTTACAAGAAAATGAACATAAATCAAACAATCCATATCATTAACAATACAAGACCCACACATTAAACTATTAGAAATATCATATAGCACACAACTAAAGCAGCTGTATCAGACAACTCTTGCATTTATAACTTGTTTGAGGTTACATGACTATATTTCTTCTACTTAAGCCTCAACGATGACCTTCCCGGTTGCATGTCCATCGATACTCTTAGCCCATGCATCTTCGGCCTTGCTCAGAGGATGCGTCGAGTCGATTACCGTCTTGAGCTTTCCTTCCTTCACCAACTTAACAAGATACTCAAGGTTCTCAGCATTGACATCAGCAAACAGCGGCACCAGCCGCTTCTTCGAGAAGGAGAGTTTCTGCAGAGCAAAAGTAAGAAAGGCACTTGGACCGGGAGTGATATCTATGACCTTCCCGTTGGAACTCAAATTAGGCTCAAAAGTTGACCAGGGAACACCGGTACTGGTTGTGCAGTGGACCACGACATCATATTTCCGACCAGATGGGCTCTTCAGAGCTGCTCCTTCCGGGGTCTTGTAGTCAAGAACCTCATCTGCCCCTAAGCTCTTGACAAATTCAATGTTACGAGCTCCACAAGTGGCTGTAACATGAGCATTACCGAGCTTGGCTAATTGGACTGCATACTGACCCACACCGCCAGAGGCAGCAGTAATCAATATGTTCTTTTGCTGGCCACCTCCGTCAAGCTTGACCCGAGCAGCTTGCGTGAGACATTGGTGAGCTGTGACGCCAGCAATAGGTAAGCCTGCAGCTTCAGCTGCTGAAACTTCGGGTGGCCTGGCCACTGTCATGTTCTCACTAGCTGTGGCGTATTCAGCCAGTCCACCTCCAATCTATCCATATGTAAGATGACAACAGAAAATTGAGGCATAGATATAACAAACGAGATCTAAATGGTGAACTTCTTGTATGCACAATGAGCTATTCAAAAAGGTGAAAAAGTAACCAAAGGAATAAGATAAACGCTCACAGCGATGGTCAGATATGCCACAACTTTGTCGCCCGGTTTGAACTTTTGGACGCCCTCTCCAACTTTTACAACCTCTCCAGCAACATCAGTAACTGTTTTCAATGATATCATTACCCGATGTCAACAACCAACCTACCAGCCTAAGACTCACAGACGTGAATGCATAAACCACAAAACAACTCGTCTCGCAATATAGGAGCAATATCCATCCATTTTAAAGTCAAAGCATAAATTTGTTTCATAACCAGCTAATTTATCTACCTCACAACTCTCCAAATACTTCAACGTATGATGAGAGTTTTATTAACAACATGAACTAATCTGTAACCTTTATGCCCAATTCTAAAAGAGGGCAATCTCTTTGGGACACCGAGTAGTGCATGATTTTGTTTCAAACGCCTTAGTAATTAATCAACATTAGGTAACTTTATTAATCAATTCAATGTTGTCGTAATTAATCAAATTTTGGTAACTTTACTTTATCATCAGTACATTGCCTGGCCTGCGGCAGCTTATATGACACCAATTGATTTATGAAGGATCCTCAAACATTAATTGACTGGAACAGGGTGATTATTGAAGAATTTAACAAACCTAAGTAACTAAACTTCACCAGATTCTACAGGTAGTGATAGAAAATTTGCAAAACAAGCACTGCATAATCATAGAAGGAAAACTTTTGAAAAGGAGGCAGGTAAAAAGCTCGAGTCTTCAATTATTGTTGAGAGATTTTTCAAAATGCCCAAAACACAGGGCGGAATATCACATGTTATTATACAATTGGAGGAAAGTTTTTTATTTTTTAAAGTGTCCCTCTAATTGTAGAATGAAATGTGGTGTCCCGTATATCAAACACACTAAAAAATATGCCGTCCTTGTCAAACAGTTTTTACCAACATCAACTTCGAATACTTTGAACAGGTAAAATATACATGTACAAAGGCCTTGTTTGGCGTCAAGGGCTGGACATGAATTAAAATGGATGTCAAACTTTTCAAATGTTTTGTAAGTTTAAGGTAAAAGATGGGTTATTCAAGTAGGAAACCTAATCCATTCTTTAACTTCAACTGAAATAACATTTGGGAGTTGTTGACGTGTATCTCTTTTTTATAACATACCTTAGAATGTAGAGTTATCCCTTTCAAGTTTCAATCAATCTTCGATACCAAACAGGTCAAAGTTCCTACCAAGATGATCAACTTGATTACTTACCAGGTATCTGAGGAAATTTTTTGGGCAAAAAAGGTCGTGCCACGCCTTTCTGAATTCTCCAATCCAGTGGGTTTATACTAGCTGCTTCCAATTTCAGCAAAACCTCGCCTTTCTTCGGAGTGGGTATTGGAACCTCTACATGCTGCAACAAATTTCATAAATAAAATACCGATACAAAAATTATAAAACTCTTCTTTTTTTTTTTTCCCTTATATAACTTGAGTTTTTTGTTTTTTTTGGTTTCACGCCAAAGAATATTAAGCATTTCGTAGAAAAAAAAATAAAAGGAAAAATGTAACAGATAAAGAAAAAGGAACCTGTAAACCAGAAGCTCCTCCACCATAGCCGACGTAATGCACCGCATGCATAAGCTTCGACGACATGCCTGCCATGCAAACTCTAGTCGGAAGTGTTAAAATATTAATGTTTAAGTTGCCATTTATATCAATCTCTATATATATATATAAAGCCAGCAGGCCAATATACAACCAGAACCAGGACTTGCTTATTGAGTATAGTCAGACGGATGAAAAGTCAAGCCTTGCAGAAGAAGAAGTTGAAGTCAGAATTTGCAACGGATTCTTTCCTCCCCTTTCCTCCTCTCCGATTTGAACGGTCACAGTTAAGTCACATCGATATTTTATATAATTTTATATAAAAAGAGAGACAAAATAGAAAATGTGAAATGAGGGAAGGGAAAGGAAAGAAAAGAGGAGGGGAAAGAATTCTAGTCCTAAAAGGTGATGAAAAGAAAAGTCACAAGTGAGAAAGTACGAACTGAAAACTCTCCACCACCACACAAACGACGGCCTTAGCTGTGTAGGGGCCATATGATCAGAGAGGCGGAACGAAGAGTCGCATCCACCAAATCAAGGCTTGTAAAGGAGAATATTGGCACGGAACAACCAAAATCTATTAACAAGAAAATATGAACATTAGATCCCAAACCTTATCATTTACAATACAAGACCTACACATCATTGGAAGATATAACAAACGACACAACTCTAGATAAGTACATAATGTTTGCATATCCCATTAAAAACCACTAGGTGTATCTTGTCTACTTAAGGCTCGACAATAATCTTCCCAGTTGCATGTCTATCGTCTAAGCCCAAGTTCTTCAGCCTTGCTCAGAGGATGTGTCCAGTCGATCACTGTCTTGAGCTTTCCTTCCTTGACCAACGAAACTAGATACTCCAAGTTCTCAGCCTTGAAATTCATGAGCAGTGGCACCAGCTGCCTCTTTGAGAAGGTGAGTTTCTTCAGAGCAAAAGTAACCAAGGCACTTGACCTTCCCGCTGGCACTCAAATTAGGCTCAAAAGTTGACCAGAGAATGCAGAATGGACCACAGCACCATATTTCGGACCAGATGGGCTATTCAGAGCTGCTCCTTCTGGGGTCTTGTAATCAAGGACCTCATCTGTCCGTAAGCCTCTTGACAAATTCAATGTTACAAGCTCCACAAGTGGCTAACATGAGTGTTTCCGAGCTTTGCTAGTTGGACTGCATACTGACCCACACCACCTGATGCAGCAGTAATAAAAATGTTCTTTTGCCGGCCACTTCCGTCGAGCTTGACCCCTGCATTGCGTGATAGGTTGGTGAGCTGTGAGACCAGCAATAGGTAACCCTGCAGCTTCAGCTGGTGAAACTTCAGGTGGCCTGGTCACTGTCATGTTCTCACTAGCTGCAGCATACTCGGCCAGTCCACCTCCCTTTTATATGGTACCAAACAAAGTGAGGCACTGATGATAGCAGTGACAAACAAATGGAGACCGACCTTAACCAAAGGAATAAAGTGAAAATGTACAGCTTCGGAAAGATATGCCACAACTTTAATTGTCGCCCGGTTTGAACTTTTAGGTCCCTTCCAACTTCTACAACCTCTAGCTCCAGCATCATCAGTAACTGTTTTCAATAACATCATTGGTCAATGTCAACATACCAACTTACCAGACTCACAGACATGAATGCATAAACCACAAAACAACTCAACTTGCAATATAGGAGCAATATTCATCCATTTTAAAGTTAAAAGTATAAATGTGAGGATAATTTTATCCACAACATGAGCTAATCTGTAACCATTATGCCCACTTCTTCAAAGAGAGCAATCTCTTTGGGACACACAGCCAAACAATTAACATATTTACATCAACCCCAACAATATTTACTTAACAATAACCCTTGGATTAGTCCACCAAAACAAAGCTTGTAAAAGATAAATGTTTGCAGGAAACTATCAGAATTAGTGTATTAACAGGAAAATATGAACATTAGATCCAAACCGTGTCAGTTGCAATACAAGACGGAAGACCAACACATCATTGGAAGACATATCATAAAGCGCACAACCACCTGTATGAGATAACTCTTGTTTAAGTACATGAAGATATAAGTTTACATTCCATTAAAATTATCAGTAAGATGTTACATCTTGTCTACTTAAGGCTCGACGATGATCTTCCCGGTCGCATGTCCACTGATACTCTTAGCCCAAGCATCTTCAGCCTTGCTCAGAGGATATGTCGAATCAATCACTGTCCTGAGCTTTCCTTCCTTCACCAACTTAACGAGATACTCCAGGTTCTCAGCCTTGGCATTCATGAGCAGCGGCACCAGCTGCTTCTTTGAGAAGGTGAGTTTCTTCAGAGCAAAAGTAACCAAGGCAATTGGACTGGGAGTAATGTCTATCACCTTCCCATTGGCGCTCAAATTAGGCTCAAAAGTTGACCAGGGAATGCCGGTTGCACAGTGGACCACGGCATCATATTTCCGCCCAGACGGGCTATTCAGAGCTGCTCCTTCTGGGGTCTTGTAGTCAAGAACCTCATCTGCCCCTAAGCTCTTGACAAATTCAATGTTACGAGCTCCACAAGTGGCTGTAACATGCGTGTTTCCAAGCTTTGCTAATTGGACTGCATATTGACCCACACCACCAGAGGCAGCAGTAATCAGTATGTTCTTTTGCTGGCCGCTTCCGTCCAGCTTGACCCCAGCAGCCTGCGTGAGACACTGGTGAGCTGTGAGGCCAGCAATAGGTAAGCCTGCACCTTCAGCTGCTGATACTTCAGGTGGCCTGGTCACTGTCAAGTTCTCAGTAGCTGCTGCGTACTCGGCCAGTCCACCTCCCTTTTATACGACAACAAAGAAAAGTGAGCCACAGATGATGGCAGTGATAAACAAATGAAGATAGAATTTAACCAAAGGAATAAAACGAACACTTACAGCTTGGGAAAGATATGCCACAACTTTGTCGCCAGGTTTGAACTTTTGGACCCCCTGTCCAACTTCTACAACCTCTCCAGCAACATCACTAACTGTTTTCAATAATATCATTAGCCAATGTCAACAAACAAGAGTGTACAAACCACAAAACAACTCGTCTCGCAATATAGGAGCATAATTTGTTTCAGAATGTTGCTAATGTATCTACCTCACAACTCTCCCCAACGACACGAAACTGATCAAATTCCGGTAAATTTATCAATCAGTTCAACGCTGTAGTACTTAATCAAACACCAGGAAAAACAGAAATTACCGGGTGCATAAGGGAATTTTCGGGGCAAAAAAGGCCGCAACATGCCTTTCTGAATTTTCCAATCAATTGGGTTTATACTGGCTGCTTCCAGTTTCAGTAAAACCTCGCCTTTCGTCGGAGTGGGGATCGGAACCTCTACATGCTGCAACAGACATACAATTTTGCATTAACAATTTTTTAAGGTAGCTCTCACCGGTACTACTTTCTCCATCGATTTTTATTGCCCTTCAAAATCAAGGGCACATATACATTGCAGCATTTTCTCACGGGTCCTCAATCATTTCTTCGGTTTTTTTTTTTTAATTTATTTGGGATTTCAGGGCCTAAAATTATACAAGTAATACATTTTCATTTTACACCGAAGAATATTGAGCATTAATGAAATCCCAGAAGCAAAAATCACCAATAAGAATAAAAGACATGAGAAATCTACAAAATAATGTTTTTACAGAAAATAGAGAATCGAAAAGAAGGAGACAATCGGAAAGAAAGAACCTTTAAACCAGAAGCTCCTCCGCCATAGCCGTCGTACTGAACCGCATGCATAAGCTTCGACGCCATTGCTGCCATACCCTGAGTCGGCAGAGAGGTAGAGAGGGGCGAGAGAGAGTGCGTGTGTGTTTTGCTAGATTCTTTGCGGGAGGGGCTTTTGACGTCTTGTATACCAGACGTGGACGCACAGCAAGTTGCCAAGTGTTATATTGATGTGAATGACGGAAAAAACAACTTTTTTTCGATTTTTTTATTACCAAAATATAAAATTTAGTGTTTTAAGAAATTCTATGTAATTAAATATTGATCACTTATCGATTAAATAGTGAAAACGAAGTCAAATATATATTGACCTCAAATCGATTAAATACTATAGCATTGTATCGCACATTTTAAGGACCTAAAAATGCACTTATTCAGAATTTAAAAGGTCATCCAACATTATTTCTTGAAAAATTATGATCAAAAAATTGTATGCGGAGAGTATATCGAAAAAAAAGAAAATTGTAAGCGAAGAGTACTGACTTTTTAATAAGAAAAATTAATGAAAAATGTTTGAAAATTTTAAATTTTAACGATAAGATTCAAATAAAAGGTAAAGTGAATAGTATCCGGATTGACTTTTTAGTATAAAAATATGATTTTTCATTAAAGTAAAGAGTACCTGAAATTTTTCGTTGAAATTTCTTTTTTAATATAGTAAGCTAACTACAATTTACATGATTTTTAAAATTGTATCAATTTATATCTTTTGAATATTTGAACGTATTAATGTTCATTAAGCTGATGAGTTTTTCGGTCAATGTGATGCAAATGTAACTTACAAATCATCGCAATTATGAATTTCATAATCACCGTATCATCAACTTAATGAAGATTTAAAGACTAATAAAATGGTAAAAGTAAAAACCTTAGGGGGCAATGCGAAAAAATATAGAGGGTGTAAAATGTAAATAGCCATAATATAATAGGATGTATGGGATGCACACCTAACAGACTCACTATAAAATGTACTTAACAATAAAATTAACATTAATTCATATCCAAACCTTATCATTTACAATACAAACACCCACACATCAATGGGCGATATCATAAAGCAAACATGAAATTTACATACCACTTAAGAAACACTAACACATATATACATGAGTGGTGTTATCCACACACCTTTATTTACTTTTCACATACCCTTCTCAATTTCCAACCGTCGAGCTGAATGAATTGAAAAGGATCAAAAGACAGAAATTAACAAAGGGCGTGTGAATAGAACTACCCTGTATCTTGTCTACTTAAGGCTCGACAATAATCTTTCCAGTCGCGTGTCCATCCATACTCCTTGCCCAAGCATCTTCAGCCTTGCTCAGAGAATGCGTAGAGTCGATTATCGTCTTGAGCTTTCCTTCCTTCACCAACTTAACAAGATACTCCAAGTTCTCAGCCTTGACATTCAGAAACAGTGGCACCAGCTGCTTCTTCGAGAAGGTGAGTTTCTTCAGAGCAAAAGTAACAAAAGCACTTGGACTAGGAGTTATGTCTATGACCTTCCCGTTGGTGCTCAAATTAGGCTCAAAAGTTGACCAGGGGATGCCGGTTGTGCAATGGACCACAGCATCATATTTCCGACCAGATGGGCTAGTTAGAGCTGCTCCTTCTGGGGTCTTGTAGTCAAGAACCTCATCTGCCCCTAAGCTCTTGACAAATTCAATGTTACGAGCTCCACAAGTGGCTGTAACATGCGTGTTACCGAGCTTTGCTAGTTGGACTGCATACTGACCCACGCCCCCAGAGGCAGCAGTAATTAATAGGTTCTTTTGTGGGCCGCTTCCATCCAGCTTGATCCCAGCAGATTGCGTGAGACACTGGTGAGCTGTGAGGCCAGCAACAGGTAAGCCTGCACCTTCAGCTGCTGATACTTCAGGTGGCCTGGACACTGTCAAGTTCTCACCAGCTGCAGCGTACTCAGCCAGTCCACCTCCATTCTATCCATATGTAAGATGACAACGAAAAATGAGGCACAAATATAATAAATGAGTTCTAAACGTGAAACTTCTTATATGCACAATTAGCTCTTCAAGACGGGGAAAAAGTAACCCAAGGAATAAGATGAACACTCACAGCATGGCTCAGAAAGGCCACAACTTTGTCCCCTGGTTTGAACTTTTGCACTCCTTGTCCAACCTCTACAACCTCTCCAGCCACATCAGTAACTGTTAATATCATTAGACAATGTTAACAACAAAAACCTACGAGTCTAAAAACTCAGACATTGATAACTTAAATCATCAAACAGCTGGCCTTTCAATGTAGGAATAGATGAATGCCATTTTAAAAATCAATACACAAATTTATTTCAGAATCCATCTAACTCAAGCACCAGAAAAATCATAAAAAAAAAAAAGCACCAGAAAATTCTCCCAAGATTACAAATAGGAATCAAGTGTAAATGAGAAGTTTCATTAAAAACACGATATCATCCTTAAACCATAATGCTTACTTTTCAATATTCAGTTTTTTTAAAAAGTCTCATCCGCACACCTAGTTATTCAATGATGGAGCAAACCAATCACACCCAGTACCTTGTACAACAGTTGGCATGTTGCAGCTTATAACACCGGTTGAATGTTGTCATGGTACCTCAATATTTTAAGTAGCCCGGTGCAGAAAATTTATCGGATAGTGAGTAGACTACACATCAGTGGCATTACCAAATCATCTTCCAATATACTATCTAATCGACTCGAAGACTCACAAAGAGGATGATCGATCATTCTAAAAACAAAGGCCTTGTTTGGTGTCAAGCATTGGACTGGAAGAGGTAACACGCTTGACTCAATGGATGTAGAACAAAAAATTGGATGCCAGCTTTCACATGTTGTCTAAGTTGAAGATCGATGATTGATTAGTCAGAGACTCGCAGAGGATTAAGTTATCCTTTCAATCCCCACAAAACGGTAAGAGTTAATTTTCCTCCATGACTAATCCTCCTTCTAACTTCAACTTAGACAACATTTGAAAGTTGCATCCAATTTTTCTTTAACGTACATTGAATCTAGTAAGTTATCCATTCCAAACCAAATCCTAGACACCAAACGAAGGCCAAAGTTCCTACCAAATCCTAGACACTACAAGTTAATCTGACTTTATAACAAACAGATCACTTAAAATCTTATTAATTTTTCTAGCTGCTATGATTGGACTGTCAAATTATTTACTCAGGAACTCACAAGCACAGAATTACCGCTGGGAAAGTTCAAGATTGATTGTAACTTGTAAGAAAATGAATTTGGTGAAATTCTTGCAAGCAAAGAAAGCAGAATCATTCACCAGGTATGTGAGGAAATTTTCGGGGATAAAGAGGCCGAAGCATGCCCTTCTGAATTTTCCAATCAACTGGGTTTAGAGCAGCTGCTTCCAGTTTCAACAAAACCTCCCCTTTCTTCGGGGAGGGGACCGGAGCCTCCACATGCTGCAAAACACAAATTACATGAATAAAATACACATAAATTCCAGAAGGAAATATCAAAGAAGGTAAAACATATGAGATAAATCTACAAAATGTAAGACCAAAAAAATTTGCAGAATAACAAAAGGGAAACTGTAGGAGATGAAGAAAGAAAAGTGAGAACCTTTAAAGCAGAAGCTCCTCCGCCATAGCTGTCGTACTGTACCGCCTGGCAAAGCTTTGATGCCATGTTGCCGTACCCTCCTGAATCGGCAGAGACAGACGAGACAGGATTCAGATTTGTAGAGAGAGGAGAGAGAGAGAGAGAGAGAGAGTTGCTAGATTCTTGTGGATTGGGTTTCTGACGTCTTGTCAACCACACTTGGAATTAGTTCAGTTTGCCACGTGTTGAATTATGATAATCGACGGAGATAACCCTCTGATTTTGATTGACTTTATTTGGAAAGAAATCCTTTCCAATTGCTTCCTCTTAATTCTTCAAATCTGAGAATTGGTTATTCAAATTTAATCCAACGATTACAAACAAAGATTTATTTTTAAAGTTATTATAACTTTAACCGTTAAATCAAATTTCAATAGTTTGAATCCTCAAACTTGATGAATTAAGTGGAAAGGTTCCAGAGATGATCCCCTTCAAACTGTATTCACTTGTAAATATATCATTATATAAAAATAAATTTAGAACTATTTTGAAGTTGTGGTGCTTTTAAAAAAAAGTTATTAAAAAAATTTGGACACCAAATGTGTTTAGTAAAATAAAAGAAAAATATTTCTTTTTTAAAACTATGTTAATGACAATAAAAAAGTAGAAGTATGGTCTACCATGCTACTATGCTTTTTCAAAAAAAAAAATTTTCTTCAAAGTATTGTGAATAGTGTCTATTTAATGAAACTTTCAAATGATAAGTATACTCATGTATACTACACAAGATTACAATTTTTATCCTTGCATTATTCTCTTTGAAATTTTTTATAAGGATGTGATATCCACACATCTTATTTTACTTCTCACACACTTTTTTAATTTTCGGTCATCGGATCGGATGAATTGAAGAAGATCAACAAACAGAAATTATCAAGGAGTGTGTGAGAAGTAAAACAGGGTGTGAAGATAGCACACCACAATAATAACTTGTTGAATATAGTCTTTGTAATCATTTAACATATTCACAACAGTTTTATATAAAAGTTTACCAAATATTTAAAATATTGTTTTTTTTTTTTGTTAAAAGGATTTTTACAAAAACAAAAAATTTATTAAATACTCAACAACTTTATTTTACAACTATTTATTCTTACAGCACAACAAAAATATTTTTTTCAAAAAACAACAATACCAAACTAGTCTTTAGTGTTGGAACTCGTGAAGGAAGAGTAACTCGATTAGCCTATTTCATCTTACATCTATCATATTATTAATTTAAATAGATAATCAGACGATTAAATAAACACATCCATTAATACAATTTCAAAATCTTGTAAGTATTTATAATGGGACAAAATTGACACCCAGCAATAATAATAAAAATTGACAGGTAACAACCCCAAGGGGTAGGTCGATGAGGGAGCAAAAGTTTAGAACTCACAACCTGAACCGTAGTTAACATTGCCGACTGTAAACCGTAGTTAACAACAAAATGAACGTTATTTAAATCCAAACCTTATCATTTACAAAACAAACACCCACACATCAATGGGAGATATCATAAAGCACAAATGAAGTTTACATACCGCCAAAAAAACATTAAGACTTGTATGTCATGGATCATGACAACCACATCCATTTATTTACCATTCACACATCTTTCTCAATCTATAACCGTCAAATCAAATAATGTAAATTAACAAAAATTGTGTGAATAGCACTATTCTATATCTTGTTTACTTAACCTCGACAATAATCTTTCCATTCGCGTGTCCATCTACACACCTAGCCCAAGCATCTTCAGCCTTGCTAAGAGGGTGCGTCGAGTCAATCACTGTCTTGAGCTTTCCTTCCTTCACCAACTTAACAATATACTCCAAGTTCTCCGCCCTGGCATTCATAAGCAGTGGCACCAGCTGCTTCTTCGAGAATGTCAGTTTCTTCAGAGCAAAAGTAGCAAAAGCACTTGGACCAGGAGTGATGTCTATGACCTTTCCGTTGGCGCTCAAATTAGGCTCAAAAGTTGACCAGGGGATGCCGGTTGTGCAGTGGACCACAGCATCATATTTCCGACCAGATGGGCTAGTCAGAGCTGCTCCTTCTGGGGTCTTGTAGTCAAGAACCTCATCTGCCCCTAAGTGGCTGTAACATGCGTGTTACCGAGCTTTGCTAGTTGGACTGCATACTGACCCACGCCCCCAGAGGCAGCAGTAATCAATATGTTCTTTTGCTGGCCGCTTCCGTCCAGCTTGACCCCAGCAGCTTGCGTGAGACTTTGGTGAGCTGTAATGCCAGCAACAGGTGAGCCTGCACCTTCAACTGCTGATACTTCAGGTGGCCTGGCTACTGTTAAGTTCTCACTAGCTGTAGCGTACTCAGCCAATCCACCTCCATTCTATCCATATGTAAGATGACAACGAAAATTGAGCAAATATAATCAATGAGTTCTAAATGGGAAACGTCTTATATGCACAATTAGCTCTTCAAGACAAAAGATTTTTCAGGGTGATTGGTACATGGGATAATATATCATGTGTCATTATACAAATGATGTGATATGTGTGTTAAAAAGTTAATAACTTAAAAAACTAACATTTCTCACCACTTGTATTAAAACACATGATGTACCACTTGTATTTGCATCACAATAAAAAATTTCTCCTTCAAGACCGGAAAAAGGAATCAGATGAACACTCACGGCATGGATCAGAAATGCCACAACTTTGTCCCCCGGTTTGAACTTTTGCACTCCTTGTCCAACCTCTACAGCCTCTCCAGCCAGATCCGTAGCTGTTAATATCATTAGACAATGTTAACAACAAAAACCTACCAATCTAAAAACTCAAAGACATTGATAACTTAACACCAAACAACTCGCCTTTCAATGTAGGGCTGGTTTGGTATTGCTGTGCTTTGAAAAAAAGCTGATTCTGCTGTGCTGTGAGAATAAGCGGTTGTGAAATAAAGCAATAGAGTGCTTGGTAAACTTTTTTGTAAAAGTGCTTTTGAAAAAAAAACAGTATTATAGTGTTTGGTAAACTTTTATGTAAAACAGATGTGAAAAAAAAACGATTTTTCAAAGCTGGGTTTTGCAGCTTCTTGTTTTTGGCTTTTTTCACCCAAAACTGTGAAAAAAAGCTGAAGCTAAATGTTTACCAAACACAAAAACAGCTCCCAGCTTTTTTTTATATCAGTTTTTTTCAGAATCACCTCAGTACCAAACTAGGTCGTAGAAATATCAGAAAAATCATTAAAAAGTAGACAGAAAAATCTCCCAAGATTATGAGAATTTTTTTGTTGTGACGGGAATACAGATAGTATACCACGTGTTTTTATGTAAATGGTGAGAAATTTTATTTTTTAAATTATTAACTTTTTAACACACGTATTTCACCATTTATATAACGACACGTAATGTATCACCTCGTGTGCCTATCACATTGAAAAATCTCTCTATGATTACAAATATGATAAAGTGTAACTGAGAAGTTTCATTGAAAACACGATATGATCTGTAAACCATTATGCTTACTTTACAATATCCACTTTTTAAAAAGCGTCTCTTCGGCACGCCTAGTTTTAAAATGATGGAGTAACCAGTCACACCCAGTACCTTGTACCTTGCTTGTACAGCAATTGGCATGTTGCAACTTATAACACCAGCTGAATGTTGTCAAAGTACCTCAAACGTTAAGTAGCGCGGTGCAGGAAACATATCGAAAAGCGAGTAGATTACACACATCAGTGGAATTACCAAACACTAATGACAAGCACTGCACTGCAATGTTAAGTGCACAAACACGTCGTAAAAGGAGGCGGAACAACTAGAAAGCGGGTTCTTTTGGTGAAAAGGGGGCCCAAGCAAACTTCCACAAATCTATGACTGGTAAGGCCAGTTGGAGTTTGAGACCCTTTTGTCTCATATTGGTCAACAATATTTTTTCATTGGCTTTTATATAAGGTTTATTCATTTTTCTTAATAATTAGAACTTGGAAAAAGTTGTATCTTTTTGGAAAGAGCTGTATAGCTTCAGATACATCCAAAAGGTGTTTGAAGATGTATGAAAGAGCCTATATAGCTGGAGTCCTCATTTCCATCAATTATTATCTTTTTCTTCTCCTTTGTCTTCCGTACAAATTTTCCAGAGAGTAAACACACAAAGCAATTCGCTAGAATTTTATAATCCAGTGCGGGTTGTAGAATTAGGTAGTTGTATCCTGGTCAAGCAGACGTTGTAGAACCACAAGCACACGAGTGGAACGAAAATACTGTTCGAAGGATATAGCGTTTGCGCTAACCTCTACCTTCAATTCATTCAAGTTAGTATCATATTAATTTTTTGTAATTATTGTGTTATTGCATTCTGTATTGCAAGTATTTGTGAATAACAAAGTATAAGTATTTTGATTCTGTATTTCTGTTATTTTATTGTTTCTAAATTGTTCTCCAACAAGGCCAACGAAATCATCTTCCAAAATACTATCGAATCTACTCGAAGGCTCATGAAGAGGATGATCGATCATTCTAAAAAGAAAGGCCTTGTTTTGTGTCAAGCATTGGACTGTAAGAGATCACACACTTGACTCTATGAATGTTGAATGAAAAATTGGATGCCGGCTTTTGAATGTTGTCTAAGTTGAAGGTAGATGATTGTTTTGTCATAGAGGATTAAGTTATCCTTTCTATCCCCACAGAAATGGTAAGATTAAGTCTCCTCCATGACTAATCCTCATTTTAACTTCAACAGTTCAACTTAGACAACACTAAATTTTTCATTGACGTACATTGAATCCAGTAAGTTGTCCATTACAACCCAATCCTAGACATCAAAAGAAGGCCAAAGTTCCCACCAATACGGTCAACTTAATCTGACTTTATAACAACAAACAGAGCATTTAAAATTTATTCAGTTTTTTAGGTGCTATGAATTGGACTGTCAAATATCTTTTTACTCGGTATATCACAGGCACAGAATTACTGCTGGGAAATTCTTGTAAGAAAAAGTAACTCACAAGCACAGATTGATTGTAACTTGTAACAAAAAGTATGTAGTGAAATTCTTGCAAGCAAAAACATCAGAATTATTTACCAGGTGTGTGAGGAATTTTTCGGGGTTATAACTTATACGGGCCGAAACATGCCTTTCCGAATTTTCCAATCACCTGGG